TGTTGCAGGCCGAACCAGGGGTAGTTTGCTCGCTGGTCCAGAAACTGCAGCGGAGGCAGCGAACCCCACTGTTTTGGACGCGTTCGGACCCCCTGAAGCTGCAGTTATGACTCCTGTACGCTATCGATCTCTTGCGGACATCTATGCGGAGACGGAGGTGATTGATCTCCCGGCAGAGGAGTTGTTTCTCATCAATGAAGAACCAGCGAACTATCTTGAGGCCGCAACAGATCAAGAATGGCGGACTGCCATGGAGAAGGAAATAGAGGCCATCGAGAAGAACAAGACTTGGGTACTCACGGAGTTACCGCGGGGTTCCAAACCCATTGGTCTCAAATGGGTGTACAAGCTGAAGAAGGACAATGAAGGCAACATCCTCAAGCACAAAGCAAGACTTGTAGCAAAAGGGTATGTCCAGCAGCAAGGCGTGGACTTTGATGAGGTGTTTGCACCTGTGGCGAGGCTTGATACCATCAGAATAATCCTCGCTATATCAGCACAGAACGGGTGGGAGGTGCACCATTTGGATGTGAAGTCGACATTCCTAAATGGTGATCTCCAGGAAGAAGTGTATGTGGTTCAACCTGAAGGGTTCGTTGTGAAGAATCAAGAGCACAAGGTCTACAAGCTTTCAAAGGCACTCTACGGTCTACGCCAAGCACCTCGGGCATGGAACACGCGCCTCGACAAGTGCATGAAGGGCATCGGATTTGCAAGATGCACTCAGGAGCAGGCGGTATACACAAGGAGTAACAGAGGGGATACACTCATTGTTGGCGTGTACGTAGATGACTTGATCGTTACGGGCTCGAGGGCGGATGAGATAAAGTTTTTCAAGCAACAAATGATGAAGGAGTTCGAGATGAGTGACCTTGGATTGCTTTCTTATTATCTTGGTATCGAGGTGGATCAGCGAGATGATTGTATTGCACTAAGGCAGGCGGCCTATGCGAAGAAGGTTTTGGGTCAGTTCGGCATGATGGATTGCAACCCGACGCAATATCCTATGGAAACAAAGCTAAAGCTTGGAAAGGATTCCGAAGGAACACTGGTGGACGTGGCGGAGTATAGACGCATTATCGGATCTTTGAGGTATCTAACTCACACCCGACCCGATATCACATATGCCGTGGGGATTGTGAGTAGGTACATGGAGCACCCTACAGTTTTGCATCGACAGGTTGTCAAGCATATTTTGAGGTACGTGAAGGGTACTATGTCCTACGGATTGGTGTACAAACGAGGTCGAGGCAATGAAGAGTTGGTGGGATTCACTGACAGTGATCTTGCGGGAGATGTTGATGACAGGCGCAGCACAGGCGGCATGGCATTTTATCTAGGTGACAGTTTGGTCACTTGGACATCACAGAAGCAGAAGACGGTGACATTATCATCCTGCGAGGCAGAATTTATAGCGGCAACTGCAGCAGCATGCCAAGGCTTGTGGTTGAGGAGTTTAATCAGCAAGGTGATTGGGAGTGAGCTCAAGCCGGTTACACTCTTCGTCGACAACAAGTCTGCGATTGCCTTGATGAAGAATCCAGTTTTCCATGGAAGAAGCAAGCATATCGACACACGTTTTCACTTCATTCGTGAGTGTGTTGAGCGAGGACAGATTAAAGTGGAGTTCGTGAGCACGAGCGAGCAGCGAGCAGATATTCTCACGAAGGCACTAGCAAGGGTGAAGTTCATCGAGATGCGAGAACTGCTAGGAGTAAGGGACTTGGAATCTCGTCCAGATTAAGGGGGAGAATGTGAGTTGTAATCAGTCCAAGGATTGTTAGTTAGTAGAATTCTAATTAGAGTAGAATACTAGTTAGTAGATAGGTTTCTAGTTATTGGATAAGATTAGAATTGCAATCTTAATCCTATATATATGTAAACAATTGATGAGTTTTGTTACAACGTGAAAAAAAACTTAAAAGAGAAAGTTCCTGCCTCTCCTCTGTTCGTTCTCTCTTTTCTCTGTCTACAGGTTCTGTTTTTTGTGTTCACCAACAAAACAGACCCGGAGCTCTCAGTTTGTTGTTGTTCGGTCCCAAAGGAAAGGTGCCAGGTCCGGCCAATAGCAAGTGCAGGAGCAGAGACTAAAAGAAAATCCCTGCAGCAAATCCTTTGTGTGTTCTTTGGTGTTCGGTTCCTAAAAAATCAGCCAGGGAAGTTTTTGTCTTTCAGGTTTTTTATAAAAGCTTACAACTTTGATACTTGGGTCGATCCCACTTCAAAACCAACATTACTTCCATCCCCTATCCAGCTAAAAATTATATATATATATTTTTATATAATTTGATTTTGTCATATCTGTTTAGTATCCCTTAGGTGCCGTTTGACAAAAGGTTAAGTGAGAGGTTAAGGAGACTTAACCCCTTCTTAACCCGCCAAACACAAAAAATCTATATAAGGGTTAAAGTGAGTTAACCCTCTATAATTTGCCAAACACAAAATATATAGAAAGGTTAAGCTAACCCCTCTAGAGGGATTAAAATGAGTTAACCCCTCAAAATGAGGGGTTTACTAATACTCCTATTTAGAATGATTAAGAACTAACCCCTTTAATTATAAAGAAAGTAGTCAAAATCCTTGTTATTCCCAAACACTAAAAGTGATCATAAGGGTTAAAATAAAACTTATATAACGGGTTAATAATTTAGTCCTTCGAATTGTTGAATGGACTAACTATGTTAATCCTTCTCCTTAATCTCTCTTAATTAACACTTAGCACTCCGGATAACAGTAACAAGCGACAGGAAAGTGGCTGAGAAAATTATCAGTTCAGTGCACATGCTGCCACTAATAAGGGAACAGTTGCTCAACAACCTCTAGTTGATGCCTAAAAGAATCCAATCTCTCTCAACTCTGACTCACATCAGCGCTATGACATAAATTAAAAATTAGATAAGTAATATTTCCAGAGGCCTGCATTTAAAAAAAAAACTACGAATAGATCGTTAACAATACAGTAGCCTCACCAATAAAATTAATACCAGCTGGAGAAAAATCAACCTGTAGACCCGTCATCATGACGGCACCAAACGTAAATTCAGGGAGAAAATTCCACGTATAAAAATTCTACAAGAAAGTGAAATCAAGCCAACATCAACAACGACAGCCAGCAGATTCCTCGCGGGTGAAAGAAGGTTGGACCGAGGAAATAAGAAAGGCAAATTAAGAGCACGGAAACAAAAGCCATTAGTCAAGTCAATAAGATTAGTATTCGTCGGTTAGCATCACCTTTGCGACTTTATGTTTCTAGTTTACAAACAAGTGGCCTGAGAATTAAGAATTAATCTTCCTTCCTGTGTTGGCCTACTTTTCTTGGAACTAGCGATTAAAAGTAGAAACAAAGGAGTGATCTTTTAATAATATATTGCTCCGAGCTCAAACTATAGAAAACACAAAATATGAAACGTAAGCAAAGTAGAACACAGCTAAACCATGGACTTTCCTTTCACGACAAGGAAAGAAATCTATCTAATTGCACCTAATGAACCGGAGGCGAATCCAGGATTTCGTAGCATCACATAACAAGCTCCATAGGTTCCAACGGTGGACCGATGCCCTGTTAACACTGGACACTGTATATATAGATGCGCCACTGCTAATTACCTTATTATATTAAACAGGAGGAGTCATAGCCGGAACAGTTCTGACGCCACCGCCACCGCCGCCATACTCCTCATCCTCCTCATTCTCCCTGGACATCTCCTCCAACGACTTCCCGTTCGACTCTGGCACCAAAAACGTGAACCCCAATCCCACCAAATTACAAGCCGCGAGTACAAACAGAGCGTTTCTCACTCCAATCCCAGCTGGATACCCGTAATCCCTCTTCGCCGGATCCTTGCTCTGCGCCGCGTACAAAAACCCAAACGCCCCGATAATGGCCCCTGCTTTCCCCGACGCCGCTGATATCCCGTGGCACGTTGATCTCAACCTCGCCGGAAAAATCTCCGCCGGTACGATGAACGTTGTGCTGTTAGGCCCGAAATTGGCGAAGAAGAAAGTCAGTGCGTACATCGCCACGAATCCAATATGGTTTCCTTTCACCGTCCAGTGGTGGTACGGTATGGCGAGCGCCAGCATAAAAACGGTCATCATCGCGAATCCCATCACTTGTATCGTGAATCTTCCGATTATGTCGATGAAGGCCACAGTGAACCAGTATCCCGGTACCGTGCCGCACAGGGCAATGAGAGTTTGAGCCCGGGATATCTTGTAGACCTCCTCGATGGCATTCATCGTCGCAGGCTTAGGGATCCATCCAACGGCACTGAAGATGTCCTTTTGAAAGAGGTTCTGGCTGTAAAATGAAATGTCTAAAAAGAACCATGTCGTCGTGGTCCCGAGAAGGTGAAGGCCGTGGCGCTTCATGAACTCTCTGCTGAAGAGGCCAAAGTCGTTGCCTTGTCTCACCGCCAGCTGCTGCACCTTCTGCTCCTCCGTCTCAATCTCCATCTGCAGAACCTTCGACATGTCATTCGCAGCCTGCTTCGCGTTCTTGGCCACGAGCGCTGTGTACCTGGCCGTCTCCGGCATCTTCATACGCCAGTAGTACGTCAGCAGCGCTGGCAGCGAACCAGAATTATCCGCCAGACCGTAGTCGAGCCTGTGCCACGGGTCGACCCATGCGGGTCCCACAGAGTACGGCCTGTGCCTAAATACGCCGCGTTTGAAGAGCAGCCGATATTATCAGCGACACCGCCAGCAAGGATGCCGAACCCTTGCATGGCAAAAACCGCGGCGATAAAGGCGCCTCGAGTCTTCTTGTTGGCATACTCCGACATAATAGTGGCAGAGAGAGGGTAATCACCGCCTATGCCAAACCCGAGCCAGAACCGAAAGAAGCATAGCGTTGCCATGGTCCCCTTGGAGCTGTGACCGAAGGAGAGGCCGGAGGCAATAGAGCAGATGACCATGATCATGAGGGTCATTCCGTACACCTTCTTGCGACCCATCTTGTCCCCGAGCCAGCCGAAGAAGAGCTGGCCGGAGAGGGTCCCGCAGAAGGCAACACCGTTGACGGCTGACGACACGTTCGGAGGGAGGATGCCCGGCGTAGCGGAGCCGTCGACATGGTAATAGATACGGCCCAGGAGTTTGGTGACGAGGGAGATGCAGAAGAGATCATAGGCATCGGTGAAGAATCCCATGCCGGCGATGAGGATGGCCGTGAAGTGGTATAGCTGAGTCTTAGCCACATCAAGGGCGTTGAGGACATGAAGCTGATCCTTTGCCATGAGGATTAGATTCTATTGAGCTAGAATGAGTGAGGGCTAAACGTAGGAGTACTAGTCTAGAGCCACATGTATTTATAGTCACGGAGAATCGCATAATCAGAGGATATTCTGAATCAGACAATTGTTTAATTGCATTGATAATTACATGCTTTTGCTAGTGTACAACAAGTAGAGGGAGAAATACAAGTCAACGAAGTGTTTGGTGTCTATTCTAGCGTTTGTGCTCCGCATCTCGCCTTTTCACACGATTCAGTCCGTCTTGAAATTAAAATATGAACGAGGCATGTTCACATTCATTTATTTGGTTGTTTTCCCCTTTTTTTCGGGTGGAATAATGTGAACAGGAGACATGGGGGCCACCCATGTGATGCAAACCGCGTGAAATCTTCACGCGTGAAGAAGTTTTGCAGAGGCCGGCCCACCCGATTCAACATTCACCCGAATACATCCCTTATATATGTATATACCTAGGTTTTCGTATCAGTTACAAATTACAAGTACAAATTTATTTTGGAATTAATCGCATCACAATAGATAAGTAAATCCCAACTAGGTTGGCACCTACTCACCTATATCACTATCATTTGCAATTATTTCCAAAATAATTCTTTACAAATTGTAAGCTAAGATATAAAAACTACAATCTATTCTTTATATCTATCTGCTAGTCCCAATTCTTCAAATTTATCTTCAATTCCAGCCATCCGATCGATGCCTTGCGTTCGCTTCTCGTACCTCCACCAATCTTGTAGGCACATCACCGCTTGTACAGTATATGGATCCAAGCATGTCCTGTGATCGTCGATCAAACGACCTGCTGTGCTGAAGGCGGATTCCGAAGCTACCGTCGAAACCTGCACTGTTAGTAAGTCACGAACCATGGTGGAAAGTATAGGATATGAAACTGATCCATATACTTTCCACCATTGCAAAATATCTAAAGCATTTCCTTGACATCTAACTAAAGAAGCAGAAAAATATTCATCTATTTCAGAAACCTCCGATGATGACGATCCAAGTCCAGATCCACCAGTTAGCTCGGCTACCATTGCATACCTATCAAAACTTACACTTTTACCTCGGGCTCGGGATGAGCTCGAAGAAACCGAAGCTGCAGACTGTTGTGCAGCTACACCATGTCTAGCTGCATACTCATCATATAAGGTTTGAAAATAATTTCTAATAAGTAAATGATGAGTAGTAGCATTCAGGGTGGTTCCATCATCTAAGTCTATAACCTGTCCACTATACAATGACTGTAACAAACTTCGAAGGACAATATCTTTCAAGCATGGATCAATAAGAACCCCCAAACCAAAAATATGAGGAATATGCCTAAAATACTTATTAAATTTGCTCTCCATTTCAAAAACCATAGGTCCAAAAGTAGCATCCAAACGATATTTATCAAAAAAATTTTGAATATTTAAAATTTGTAAAGCAGCTAAAGTAATGGTTGGATAATAACAGCCAGATAATAACATGGTAGCATCATAAAAAACTTGTAACATTTCATTTAAATTACATATAACTGTCCATTCATCTTCAGTTATTCCATAAGTGCTACCAGAACTAGAACTAGAAGCATAATAGTTTATAAAATCAGTTATAATGTCTTTATATTCTATTGCTACACTTAACATTGCATATGTGGAATTCCACCTATGGTCAACATCTTTTGGAATTAGTCTAGGCTTTACATTTTTTCTTTTACAAAATTGTTTCCATCTTTTAAGTCTTTGTTCAGAAGCACTATGCATGTAAGCAACTGTTCTAACCTTTTCTATCATGGGTTTAATTTCAGTAAATGCACTTTGAACAATTAAATTTAAAATATGACAGATGCACCTAATATGAAAAAGATCACCATGACATGGTAATGATAAAGATGATATGATAAAATCAACAGCTACATTGTTATTACTTGCATTATCTAGTGAAAGAGAAAATATTCTTTGTAAAATTTCTAATTTCATAAGTTCTTCAATTATTAAATTTGCAACATTAGCACCAGTATGTGACTCTTCTATTGCAATAAAAGAAACAACTCTTTTAAACATTTGCCAATTTTCATCAATCCAGTGTGCTGTGATACATAAATATCCAGTTTGTGCTCTAGATGTCCAAATATCAGAAGTTAAAGAAAATTTACAGTTTAAATTTTTAAAATAAGAAATTATTTTTTCTTGTTCTTGCTGATAATATTTTAAAATATCACGTTGACAGGTTTGACGAGAAAATTTTTTAAATGCAGGATAAAAACCATCTCTAAACATATCTTCAAATTCATCATCTTCTACTAATTTAAAAGGAAGGTTTTTAAGAATGATAAACCTGATTACGCATTTCCTGGCTCTGGCAGCGTCATAGTTCCAACTACCGAGACTACCAGAAGAGGAGGATTGAGAAATCATGGATTGTCGGATATCACCTTGAGGAGGCTGGCCTTTGTTGTGTTTATCTAAATGGCGTTTGAGGTGGTTGGTGCCGCTCTTATGATGAGCTTGAAAAATCTTGCCGCACAAAGCACACTTAGCCTTCTGGGTGAGGATCCTACCGTGTTCATCCTTGGTGACGTCGATCTTCTCGTAAAAATTCCACACATCGGATCTTGGCCGTTTAGGAGCTCTTGGTGCAGATTCGTCGCCACCGGATTCGAGATTAACTTCGGTAGGAGGACTCATAGTAGGAGGACTCATAGTAGGAGGACTCAATTCAGGATCGGGAGATATGTTTTGCTCTTCATAATCAGATCCGGAAGCCATTTGGGGATTGGATTAGAAAGTATAAATAAGAGAGTATAAGAGTATAAGAGAGAGTATAAGAGTATAAGAGAGAAGAGATGAGTTTTTGGTGTGAAGAAAACAAATGAAAACCCCCCTCTATTTATAGAACCAGCCCCCTAGGTAAATGACCAAAATAACCTCACAAAATAGCCGTTTTTTGACCGTTTTTGAGGGCAAAACGGTCAAAGGGCCAATCTGACCGTTGTTACCGGGCCGGGGCCGACGGGTAAAATGGACAGCCCTACCCGAATACATCCCCTATATATATATACCTAGGTTTTCGTGAAAGGGTGTGCAAGGGAGTTTTGGTTTCTCTCTCTTTTGCGGCAGAAAAGCAGGCGCGTAAGGAGGCAGGCAAATTGGTTGGGTTTTTTGAGGCCGGGCCGGGCCCGGGCCGACGGGTAAAATGGACAGCCCTACCCGAATACATCCCCTATATATATATACCTAGGTTTTCGTGAAAGGGTGTGCAAGGGAGTTTTGGTTTCTCTCTCTTTTGCGGCAGAAAAGCAGGCGCGTAAGGAGGCAGGCAAATTGGTTGGGTTTTTTTTTCGCTGGCGGCGGCTTCGTGCAAACAGGGAAAGCCGACAGAGAGCAGTGCAGGGAATTATTTGGTGCATGAGGATTTCCTTGCGGCTTTTTGTTTTGTTTTTGAGAGAGATAATTGTGTGAGGGATTTGAGAGTTTGTTTGAGGGTTTAGATTGTGAGTGATTATAAACCCTATGTAATAGCTTTTAGGTTCCCTTGACGCGCAGTCCTAGAGCTGACGAGAGGAAGAGCTAATATCCCACTTTGATGGGATATTAGGCTTCAGATTCTTGTTCCCTTTAAGAAACAAGAATTCTTATTGCGACCTGACTCTCTTGTTGTGCTGCCGAGGTGCTGCCGAAATTTCCGCTGCGCGCAACAAGTAGTATCAGAGCCCAGATTTCAGATCTAGGGAGTTTTTTTTTTGTGGAGGAAGATTCTTATGTGAAGCTTAGTTCTTGGAGTTCTCGGCTTCGGTGGAGATAGCATTAGGAGTTGCCGTTGGAGATTTCGCTTTCCTCGTGTGGATAGGAGATCTATTTGAAATCCGATCTAGGGTTCAGTTGGGTGGTTGCTAATTCTATCAAATTTTTTCTTTCTCTACAATTTGGAGTTAGTTTGCAATGGGAGAAGAAGGTGAAAGCAGCAAATCGATGGCGAGTACAATACAAGTTGGTTTTCAGAACACTAAGATTAGTGTGGTGAAGTATGACGGCAAAATCAACTTTGGTTTGTGGATGAGCGACGTACAGGATGCGCTCAATGCTCAGAATTTGGAAGAGACCATCATGGTCCACAAGAGGCCACCTAAATATGATGAGGCGATATGGGAGAAGATGAATAGGAACGCTTGTGGGGTGATCAGGTCCTGTTTGGAACAGGAGCTGAAGTATGATGTGATTGGGGTGACGTCTGCGATGAAGATGTGGGAAATTCTCAACAATAAGTACCTTACGAAGAGTGTTGAGAACCGATTGCACTTGCTGCGTAGGTTATTCAGATTCCAGATGTCCAGAGGCACCTCGCTTGCGGCTCATGTGAACAACTATACGAAGTTATTGTCGGACTTGGCGAATGTTGATGAGATGATATCAGATGAGTACAAGACGATTATTTTGTTGGGCTCCTTACCGTACCTTCGTGCTCACTTTGTTGAACGGAAGATCTTCTATCAGCTATAGTGAAGTGACTAACGCTTTGACTAATTACGATTTAAGGAGGAAGGACAAGGAGACTTCCCGTGCTAGCACTTCAGGCGAGGCCTTGTCGACGAGAGGTAGAAGCCCATATCCGAAAGGTGGTAATAGAGGAAGGTCAAAGTCAAGAAGTCACCACCAATTAACAAAGAACCAATGTGCATTCTGCAAGGAGCAGGGACATTGGAAGAGAGACTGCCCGAAGCTCAAGGAGAAAGAGAATGGCAAGAAAAAGGGCCCGAAGGCCAATGAGGTGAATATTGCGAAAGGCGATGATTCCGATGATTCGTGCTTTTCTCTACTGATTACTCCGGAGGTGAACCATGTGGATGCATCAGATTGGATGCTTGATTCCGGCGCTACTTTTCATGTGACCCCTAGGCGAGACTGGTTTGCATCTTTTGAGAAAGTCGACGGGGGCGTTGTTGTCATGGGAAATGATCAATCCTGTGGCGTTTGTGGGATAGGTACCGTACGGATTAGGATGCACGATGGAGTAGTCCGTGAGTTGAAGGAGGTGAGATTTGTTCCTCAACTGAAGAAAAATCTTATCTCAGTTGGAGCTTTGGAGGCGAAGGGATTCAAGGTGACTTTC